TAGCACTAATCACTGATGTTCCATCCTCACTCCATATTATGCGTCTGCTCACAAAACGCCCCGATCAACCTGCCTCGTCATTTGTAGATTTACTGCCCCCGCCGTGAATGTTATCAGCCCATTAAAGCTGGACCGCAAAAAAAAAAAATTCTCTGCTCAAGGTTATAATGTGGGTTCCAGCAGCGGAGCATGTGAACGGAGGAAACAGTGAAGTCAAAGAGCACAAGAACAATACTAGTGTCATTAAGGAAAGGAATGTTTTATTACGTAGCTGCCATAATAAAAAGATAATAACCTGACCTGCGTGTCAGCAGAGAGTGAGAGGGTGAGGGTGAGGGGGAGGTAACGATGCAATGAGAGTGTTCTTAAATTTGCGATGTGCTTAAAAAACTCATAAGGATCTGCTCTGAGGTTGCCCCGCCCACTAACACACACACACACACACACACACACACACACACACACACCCACACACACACAGTAGTATGAGAGCGGATGCTGATGGTGACAAATACAAATTACATTCTCTTATTATCTTCTCTGCTGCACTGGTTTCATTGCGCATCTGGGGATTGAATTACGGCATCTGTTGTCGTGGGAAGAAAAAAATGACACGCAAAGTAAATGTGTGTGTGTGTGTGTGTGTGTGTGTGTGTGTGTGTGTGTGTGTGGTGGAAGAGAGGCCTTATGAGACTTCATTCTGACAGTATTTACAGTCTAGATAAACACAAGCTCATTTGGCTTCAGTTTTCATTTTTTATACAGCCGTGCACTTTCACACAGCAGGTTGACATATACGCATGACTGCTTGGTTTAACCGTTGATTGTCTGACACAATCTGGGATTTTTTTAAGTTCTTCAAAGCTGGCTTAAGCTTTATCTGGAACTGCTGTTAGACAACATGCTGGTAGAACCAGTAGAGTGCACCTCATCCACAGGTGGTTGGGAATAAACAACATAATATTCTGTTCATTCAGTTTAATGTAAAATTAGCGATTTTATAGCTACTGAATGTGCTTTAAATCCATCCCATCCATTATCTATACACCGCTTAATCCTCACTGGGGTCATGGGGGGCTGGAGTCTATCCCAGCTGACTCAGGGTGAAGGCAGGTTCACCTGGACAGGTAACCAGTCTATCACAGGGCCACACTTAGAGACAGACAACCAAGCACACTCACATTCACACCTACGGACAATTTAGAATCACCAATTAACCTCAACATGTTTCTGGACTGTATGGGAGGAAGCTGGAGAACCCGGAGAGAACCCACGCTGCACGGGGAGAACATGGAGACTCCACGCAGACTCACATAAGGTACATTCTACAAAACTGAATTTCAGGTGTCACCGAGAAATCCGCTGTCAGTTTCAAAAAGGTCCCAAATAGTCAGTTCCCGCCGACGTCCTCATGTCCCTTTCTTGTCCGATTTCAGTGCCTTTATTCCGCTTTCTGAAAAGCTGTACCAGTAAAGTTAGACATGGTTTTAGCATTGAAGCTCAGTGTGGTATTTCCAGGCGTCATCATGTTGGCAGTGCTTGATTCCTCTGAAGTCTTAGCCCGTCCAAAAATGAGCTAACAGGTGGAGTGTGAGTTGAGCTGAGGCAGGTCATGGAAACATCTCTGGGTCATGTCCTATGATAATGCCTTCCATTAATCCAAGTAGCTACACTCTTTATTATGCATAACTTTAAGCTGCAATACAGTTTAAATGAGTGACTTGTACATAAATTATTTCAGTGAACAGTTGTCATAAACAGGGAAATTATCTATGGAGAACAAAATGGTTTTACGGACCAGGCTGTGAACATGTTTATTTCTGCTATAAATTTGGATATTTTAACATCAGGGTCTATGGGGATGGCCTAGATTTTTGGAGCCAATCTCAAGTGATCATTCAAGGAACTGCAGTTTGTTGCAGGGTCATTTCTCAGCACTGGAAGTTGCTGCTTGGTTTATATCAGGGAAGGAAGATAAATTGCTGTCATTTTAAACTAAGGAACAACGAATTCTATTTGTACATTTAAAGAAAAAGCACTGACTGCACTTTTTGTGAGACGAATGCTTGTGCAAAATCAAAAAAGTAGTATTCCCATATGGTGCACTGATATGGAGACGGACTGATGTGCAACCACTTCAAAAACGATTTTTCCTTAAGTTTCAGTGTCAAAGTCATCCTTTCAATGGCCTGTGTGGAAAGGAAAGTTAAAACTACTCAAGATAAATAAACTTTTTTTTTTGATTGCCCCATGAGAGTGGAGGAAATGACTCAGTAGATGAGTCATAGGATTAGAAAAAATAAAAAAAAAACCTGAAGGCCGTCAATCATAAGGAAACAGATGGCAGTCGCATCAACTTACAAGACCTCATCTGGAAGCTCAAGAAAATTAAGAGAAAATACATTTATACATTTAGAGTCTGTTCGACTTAACGCCACTAATTAAGCTTCTGTAAATCAGTGTTTCCTCACTTGTAACAAGACGTTGATTTTTCACTGCATATGCTTTTCAGAACTGAAATCTGTATTTATTCTGTGTTGGAAATTGCTTGTTGTAATATAATTATTATTTTTGTTTTTTTAAAATGCCCCATCCACATTTTAGTCCCCAGAAAAACATATTCAATTTCACGGCTGCAGACATGAAGAGTAAGCACACATTTAGCTTTGTGCTGTAACATTATCCTCTTTCACTGATCAAAATCAGCTCCTGTGTTACAGTAAAGCTGCCTGCAGTCAATTTGTGTGACAAATGACCCATTATCTGAGCACATTAATCTCCTCTGTTATATGGCTGCCAGGTGTTCTGTCCACAGGAAATGTGGAGGGATGAGTTCTGCAGCGCCTCGTTATTTTCTTACCTCTTCAAGGAAACGTGCGCTAGTTAAAGATGCTTAGAGAGGACTTCGCATTGTGTTTAGGCTGAGAGGCGAGGTTGGTGTGTTGGGACCAGAAAATCCACACAACTGGAGAAGCATGATGTATAGCACCCAACCATCTCATTACCTGGCCGAGGCTGTCAGCCGTCACTGCACACACAGGACATCCATATGGCAGCGTAGCCACAGGGCATGTGCTCGGTGCAACGATGTCCTCCAAAGCCCCGTAATGATGGACTGTGTGGGTGACTGGCAGATGTCACTGCCGTCTGACTTCTTTCTCTGCCAAGTCAAATTTCTGACAGTTGTGAAATGGAGGTAAAACACTGTGGGTGTAAGTGTGTGACCGTGTAGACGATCCCACTTCCTGAATGCACCTCACTTAAAGGTTTCTAAAGAGCAAAGGACAAAGAGCCTCTGTAAAACCAGCAAGAGCACAAAGGTTTTGTGGACTTTTCGATGCACTTGTGTGAGTCCAAATATCTGCAGACTTTCCTGAGATGCTGAACCGTGGCTCATGGTGAAATCGGTGACGTGTGAACTTACACAAACCAATCATCAGTGTGTAGGAGGAAGTCTGCTCGGAAGTTTGTTTTGCGAGTTGCAGCATCTGGCTGCTTGCTGTTGGGGTTATTTATTGCCCGTTGCGTTTCAGTCAAACATCAGGATAGGTTTTACAGATATATATATATATGGGATGACTCACTTCTTTTTAATGGCAATGTGCTG